ATATATATATAATTTAAAAATTGTATATTTTTCAATTTCCTAATAATTCCATTTGTATATTACATTATACAGTATGTTAAATTAAATTTATGTTACATAATATTACATTACCAGTATTTGTATATCTATAAATATGAGATCCACCGTAAGTAAACTTTTCAATAAACTGCACATACATGTATAGGCTGTGAAATAAAGCACCTGCCTTTGAGTATCTAATTAAATACAAATCTGATCATCACTATCATCACAATCATCACACAACGTTCTCCTCATCACCATCATCCTCCTCACCATCATAATCATTATGATTTAATATCATAATCATCTTCACAATCACAGCCCACCATCACCACCTTTTCTGGTTGTACATTTGGGTGTATCACCTTCATAAAGCAGTTTCTTCTGTTCCTCTGTTTCGCCTCTTTTTGATTTGATGCTACTATACAACATATGAGATTTCGCCAATCGCCATAAAAACTGAGCATTTCCAGAATACTGAAAGGGAAAAATTTTTTAATGAAAACCAAGGTTTCTCTATAAATTTTCAACAATTATCACAACTATACAAGGCACACAGCATCATCAATTTAATTATTATGTATATTTCAGTTCTATTTGAAGAAATGTCATTAATAATATTGTATACCTTTCTGGCAAACACCTACCGCTGTGAAAAATTATATTCATCATGCCTACCCTGTGAGCCAAGAATCATAAAACTTTAATTTTTTCCCTTAAAAAGATGAAAATTTGGGACTGCTATAGCTCTTCAACAAAATATTCTCTTTTTTCTATGACAAAAATAAAATTTAATTAAAATTATATTTATTAAATGAACTCATATTGGGCAAAGTTGCAGCATTACCTTTTCTCTATTTCTAATCAACAGATCGTAAGCACTGACGACTTCATCCTCGGAGCCTTTGAAAAGCTTGTCAACCTCTTTGAGATGAGCTGTCAATTCCTCGTCATCAATTTTAGCTTCAAGGTATTCTGGTGCATCCTTGTACAGTAAAGATTCAGGTGCAGTTGTAAATCTAATATGTAAATGAAAATTAAATTTCAACTAATTTTAGTAATATTACAATTATTAGTATAACTTAGGCAAGATATTTTTTACCTTTAATTGTTTCAAGAACTTTTTTTTTAAAGATCACTTAGCAAATAATTTTGCCAAAAACATCCAGACAGAAGAGAAAATTTAAAAAATAAAATGTTATTGGTGAATTTAATGGGATGGTTATAATTAGGAAGAAATACACATATCGTATTTTTGGAGATTTCAAGTCAGCGGTGGGCGTAATAAAAATATAGAAAAACTTTAATTTTTTTTCTGAAATATCCATTTTCCGTGGTGGTGAGTGCACTAATTGGCCAAAAATCAAATTTTATATTTATTCAAAATCATTATTATTGGCAGATGGCGGGTTTTTTTTTTTTTTTTTTTTTTTTTTTTTTTTTTTTTTATTGCTTTTAACACACATAAAACAACATAATATAATATAATGCAATATTACAATACACAATCTCATCTTCTAAAAAATAAATCCAAAACCAATATAATATACTGTACTGTAATATAAAATGAAATCAAAATTAAGTAAAAATTTAACTAAAATATACATATATATATATATGTGTATATATATATACATACATATATATATATATACACATACACACACATACATACATATACATACATACACACACATACACACACATACACATATATATACATCTACACACACATACACACACATATATATACACACACACATGTACATATATAAATAATAAATAAATAATAAATAAATAAATAGATAAATAAATAAATAAAATTAAAATAAAATTACACACAGAGGGAAAAAAAATAAATGTAAAAATTAATTTACCAGTTTCATTTGCAGTACTTTTTCTCTAAAGG